ATGGTGAAGAGAAACCCTTTCACAACATCTAGCCAGGTCAAGAATGCTCTTGAGGAGGTAGGCATGTCCTTGTCAACATCTACAGTCAAGAGACAGCTTTATGAATGTAAATACAGAGGCTTCACAACAACGCGCAAACCACTGGTAACGCTCAAGAACAGAAAGGCCAGATTAGACTTTGTCAGCAAACACCTAAAAAAGCCTGCCCGGTTCTGGAATAAGATTCTTTGGACTGATGAAACCAAGATTAACTTGCACCAGAAAGATGGGAAGAGAAAAGTATGGAGAAGGAAAGGAACAGCTCATGATCCAAAGCATATTACATTATCTGTCAAACATGGTAGAGGCAGTGTTATGTAAGATTCTTTGGACTGATGAAACCAAGATTAACTTGCACCAGAAAGATGGGAAGAGAAAAGTATGGAGAAGGAAAGGAACAGCTCATGATCCAAAGCATATTACATTATCTGTCAAACATGGTAGAGGCAGTGTTATGGTATGGGCATGTATGGCTGCCAATGGAACTGGGTCACTGGTGTTTATTTTTGACCTGACTGCTGATAGAAGCAGCAGGATGAATTCTGAAGTGTATAGGGCTAAATGCTGCCAAACTGATAGGATGTTGCTTCATATTGCAGATGGATAATGACCCAAAACATACCGCAAAAGCTACCCAAGACTTTCTTAAGGCAAAGAAGTGGGATGTTTTTCAATGGCCAAGTCAGTCACCTGATCTCAACCCAATACAGCATGGTTTTCACTTACTGAAGACAAGACTGAAGGCAGAAAGACTCACAAACAAGCAGCAGCTGAAGGCAGCTGCAGTAAAGGCTTGGCAAAGCATCTCGAGAGAGGAAACTCAGCATTTGGTCATGTCCATGGGTTCCAGACTCCAGGCACTCATTGACTTAAAAGGATTTTCATCCAGGTATTAAAAGCAATCCTTATGTTTGTAATGTTGTTGGTTTGTTCCATTACTTATGAGCCACCAACGATGGGTGTGTGTGTATGCCATTGGCTGTA